CATGACAAGGAGGAACCACACATGATGCTCTACATCCGCTACAAAGACATGGACTATGCATTCCTGCCCATCGATGTCGACACGATCCCCAAGTTCTACAAGGAGATGATCCGTGATGGAAAGCTTGAGCTTGACGAGATTGAGCGTCTCTTGGCCACCGGAACTCACTTCAGCAGGACTGGAGCATTCTACTTCTACGAATATGTGAGGAAGATCCCAACCACTCTTGGTATGCCACTTGTGCTGACATCAAAGATGCCCACTGTTGGAACCATTCACGGCCAGATCAAGATCGAAATGGAACCAAAAGAGTCGAGGACTTTCGACGGACTTCGTCTTCACCTCATCCTCAAGCCCAAAGTAGCCACCACCCATGTTGTCATGGCCACGATCATGCACCCAGTTGTCGAGACTGGATTCAAGATGCTGCACTCGGTCATGTTCGAGCACCCGATCGAGATGGAAACCGAGGTCACTTGGAGACATCAGCTTCGCCTCAAGACCGTGTTCCGCCCAGTAGAGCACAAGACGAACGTCCTCCACCTGCAGACCCGCCCAGTCATTTTCGTCCGCCACATGAAGAAGGTTACGCACGCCTACCACGAACCACGAGAAGTCACCCTTCGCCTGCACGAACACCGCTACCCAGTCATGACATTCGAAAACACCTTCCTGGAGAGGTTCGGACATAAGATCATTGTCACTGGCACCATGCATCGTCCAATTGTGCGCAGAATGGAGAGCATGCTACATCCTATTCTCTTCGGATACAATACCGTCGACGTCATTATTGAGCCCACCGAGGACTTCGCCAAGGAATATGTCTTTAACATGGAGATGGAAGCGTTTGTTCCAGAAAGACTGGAGGGACCTAAGTTCGAGAAACTGTTCAGACACAATGACGAGTTCTTCGAGGAGGAAGAAATGGAGCCGAGACATAGGGAGGAACGCAGAAACGAGCTTACGACATATCTGAGGGACTACCACATTGAAAAGGCCTACCGACATCGTCTCCTCTGCAAACTCGAGACTGTCGGTATGCGTGAGAAGCACGAAGTCGAGATGGAGCTGAAGGCAGTCTGCGACCACAAGTACCGCTACTGCCGCACCAACTTCTTCCTTCGCCGAACTCCATTCCTCGAGAAAGAGACGCGCCACTGGGAGCTGAAACTCAACGCCGAGACCGTCTATCCCGAAATGCCAAAAACTATTGAGGAACTGAAGAAGATGTTCAACCGTGAGTTCCATGGACTTGTCGACGTCACCTGGGGAACTGAGCGCATGAACACTCTGTTCATTCGCATGCAGAGCGAGCCGACCTACGAACAGAAAATGTGGATGGAGAAGTTCGACCGCAAAGAGAACATGCTGACCGAGATGGATAAGCTTCGAGTCGCCTCGGACCGCAACCTGCACAAGTTCATGGTCAAGTACGAACTCATTCCAGAGACTGAGCACTTCATGCACAATCTGTTCATGTTCTTCGACACCTGGAACATGTGGAACACCGAGTACAAGATGGTCCCGCACGAGGAGAAGATGCTTCGCCTGCAGCTCGAAATCGAACCACTGTACCGCCGCACATTCGACCTGCTTGTTGAAACTCCTGAGAAGCGCATTGTGATGAAGAATCTCATGCTTCCATTTGTGCTGCCCACTCTGAACATCCACGACATGCGCATGCTTGAGAATGTCGGCGTCAGGGATGTCATTCGCCATGTCGTCAAACACAACCGCCCCGAGTGCATCGTCAAGAGCTGGGAAGTCAACACCTTCGACAAACTTCGTCTCAAGACCCCTCTCACCACCTGCTACACCATCCTGGCTAAGGACTGCCATTCGGAGGAGCCGCGTTTCGTTGTCATGATGAAGAAGATGGTGAAGGATCGTGAGGAGAAGGCGCTTAAGATCGTCACACCTCGAGATGTCTATGTGCTGGAGATGGTCAACGACGAACTTGTGATCAGGGTGAACGACAAGGTGATCACGCACGAAGAGCTTATGAGGTACAGAATCGAGA